GCTAAACGAAAAAAGGTTTGGAGGTATGAAGTTTAGTTTTTACTATACAAACTTTTTTAGTTCTTCAATGTATTATTATCTAATTGATTTTTGTATTATTGAAACGCATATAGATTTTGGTGCATATTAATTTTTTTTTTTTATAAATATCCAGTTGAATTCATAGAAACGGATATCGTGGCCAATGCATTTATACTATTCGCTGCTGGTTTTGAAACAGTGTCTACAGCAATGAGTTTTTGTCTGTATGAACTCGCATTGAAAAAACCAATACAGGACAAAGTTCGAGAAGAAATGAATAAGATGAAGAACAAACACAACGCTGAGATTGACAATGATTTTCTAAAAGATTTACATTATTTGGAAATGGTATTGGCTGGTTAGTACCTATTATATACGGTTTTAATAAATTAAATTTTATCATTGACAAAATTTTAAAATATAAATCAGTTAATTTATCTAATTTAAGTCAAATTTATACAATTCGTCATATATAATAAAAAATATTAAAACGCGTGTATGACGACGATTTCTCTAATTTAARTATTTATTTATTGCATTATAGTCAAATAATTAATTTATTAAATTAAAGTGTAATTAGTAATTCGTAYGATATATATTTATTATATTTCAGAAACCTTACGGAAGTATCCACCACTTATAACACTATTTAGAGAAGCTACACAGGATTATCAAGTACCCGATGATACATTCGTTATCGAAAAAGGTACAAAAGTTCTTATTCCTGCATACGCTATTCATCATGACTACAGATATTATCCTGATCCCGAGACGTTTGACCCCGAGCGGTTCTCACCAGAGGAAAAAGCTAAAAGACCAAATGGAACTTATATGCCGTTTGGTGATGGACCTCGCTTATGTATAGGTATGGTGTAACAAACAGTAAAATATGTTGGTCTCCACATGAGTTTTTCTTATCGAGATCAAGTTTTTTCTGTTATAAATAATATTCATTTAACTAATAAATGTCAGTTATGAAAATTTTAGGGAAACGATTTGCTGAAATGGAAATGAAATTGGCGTTAACTGAAATTTTGACCAAATATGAAGTGGAGCCATGTGAAAAAACAGACATTCCGATGAGATTCAGTTTGAGATCACTAATTATCATGCCAGAAAATGGTATTTGGTTAAAATTTAAACCAATACACGCCTCTAAATAAGCATAAATTCATCGACCTTATTAACTTAAAATATCTACTTAGTATGACAGTATGTCTTGAGGAAAACTGCTTTTAGATTTTTTTAAATGTGGTGGGTTGAAAAATATGATATTATACTAACAAAAAAACAATACTGTCTTATTTAAAGATATTCAAACAGTTAATAAGTAGTCATATGCTCAAAATCCTCTATAATTTAAGTCTATGATCTATTGCATACCTATAACCTATATACACCGTAAAACAAATTACTGCGTATTACGAATGCAAGAACTTACAATGGATATTATTTCATTTTTATGTTATTTACTATTCGATTTATTGAAATATAATGTGTATCCGATGTAAATGGTTGAATTAAGGATACCTTAGTTCGTATATTCGGGCGAGTATACCCTTATGTATAGTGTATAC